ATTTATCTGATTATTTTTTTTAAGAAGATGTCATGTGGATAGGAAAAGGAGCATGCCTAGGTAATATGATGTTTTCAAGTCACTACAGTGTTTAGCTTAAAATGGCTTGTAAGCCCTCGCACCAATAATTTCAAAAACACTAAAATCTCTTCAATAGAAGTCGGAGTTTTTCAAGGTCAGCTAATCTGGTGTCACCATCTCATCCTGTTCTAATCACAGTACTAGAATAAAATACAAAGTGTCAGGATCTCCTTAATAATTAAGTATGGATATAATCTTCACTAATAAAAAGGAAAACACCAAAATTTTAAGATTCTTTTCATCACATGACCATAAAATGGGTAACATGTTCATAGGTAACCACATAAAATGGCAGTCCTGTTTAGAAAATGCCCTTGTAACTTGAACTGTCTTAATAATGAAAAGAATCAGGCATGATTTCATTTTAAAAATACGTGAAATGAATCAGGAGACTTACATGTTGCAGCTTGCTTGCAGATCTTGATGGGAGACTCCAGCAGATCCATTTTCATTCACAGTAGTTTGATATTTCTGAGCAACTTGCAACAGTTGATTAACCTATGAAAAAGATGCCATCCATTAGCTCATTGACAAAACAGAATTACTGAGCCAACTCAATACAACCCTGTGTAAGTTCTTGGTCCAATATCTTTAACATGATACCAAAGCTATTAATTAAGTTGATATGCCAAAAAGCCAAAAATGACATGCAGGAAGTTCCATAAAATGGGCCTGCCAGACAAACACGAAGGAGAGGCTACATGGTACGTTGGAAAATGCTTATACAATGAAATTGCCAACTTTATGATTGAGTCTGGAAAAACAGAAATTGGGCAGAACACATATATAAAGTAGACAAGCAACCAAAAACAGCTCCCAGAATCATAGTCTGGCCCACGGCATGTAAATAAATTAACATTCGCCAATAAGTAATGACACATTTCTCTGCAAACGAATATCCTTAGATTGATCTTCCATGTAATCTCTTTCCAAGGATCAACTGAATACAAGATTTCACAACCATATAACATGTTACACTTAAAAATTTAATATACAAACCTAAAGGAAATAAAATCCTCGATGATCCATTGTCTTGGAACTTCTAATTTATCTTATAAATAAGTAAAAAAAATGCAACGATGGCCAAATACCTGAGTTGCTAGCACTCTTCGAGGAAGAAATTCTTCGTGTCGCCGAGCACAGAAATCCCAACATAGTATCTAAATCATAAAATTGAATTTATTAAGGAGTTCAATGTTGGGCAAAAGAATGTGTAAAACAAAAGCAACAAATGCAGATTTCCAGAAGATAAGTTGCAATCAGTTTGAAACCTTCAGTTCTGGAGTGAATGTCACTCGAAGTTTTCCCTCACGAGCAACACGTAGATGTTCATAAACACTTTCATGAACCACTTTTTCATACTCCAGCACAATAATTCCTGAAGGCAAATGACACTCACGAGGTATGCCGAGAAATAGATTGTCATCAATAAGCCCACGATCAAATTTAATTTGGAAAAGCCGAGGAAGTACTTCAAAAGTAGCCTCTGCCAAAAGAAAATACATCATTATCCAGCAAAGAAATTAGCATTGACTATTAAAAATGAGATATTTGTCTATTGAGTTAACAGTAATATGCAAAACCAAATCAACTTGCAACTAACCAAAACTTAATTTGCATGAAAAGTAATAAATTAAAATCACCATAAAAACCAGTAATCATAGTTAATGGACCTCCAAGCCAAATAGAGTTAGTGCTTTTCAGTATAGTACTACATTAGAAGCCAATTAATTACAAAAGTTGTCCTCAACAAGCAGTAAATGACATGACATATAATCACAGAGCCATGTACAGTTATATAAACTCATGGGAGAAGGAAAACCTAAATCTGTTTTTCTAGATTGGCATCTGTATCTTCAATATTAACTTTTGAGAAACACATGCTAAACTTATTACAATTCCCATGCAGCTTAATGTCGTATATGGACTTGTTGACAATAGAACTTTATTCTAACAGAAGGACACAGCATATTTGTCCAACTAGAATGGAAATGCTTCCATGGAAAAGCTACTGATGACACAGGGAATGCCCACTAATTACAATAATGTATAAGTTCAAGAGATAAGCATAATTTTCTAACAGAATTAATGAAAATTATCCACTAATAATTTTCTAACATAGTTTATTGAAAATTATCCACTAACCAAATCCTTTTCCAGATTTCAAACCACATAGTTCACACTGCCACGCATCCTGCAACGAGCAAAAGAAGTGGAAAAAAGATCATGTTGAATTACTAAATCCAGAAAATTTAGTATGTTAGACATGACTATATATGCAGAAAATTATGTTGAGGAAAATATGCTACACAAAATTCAAGAATTAGGACACTCAGATGTTAACCTTAGCAGACTGTGGGAAAACACCAAGAGCATGGTTGCCAATATTCTCATACAATGATAAACACCACCTTTTCTTAGCTAGTGGGGCAAAATACTCTGTGACAAATTTCCTCCAGTACAGTATAGAATTAGCCTACAAATAGTGTAACCGGTGTTAAGGCATCCTATAAAATGTCAAAGCCAATGGAAATAACAACCTGTAGAAACGAAGCAACTTACAGCTGGGCGATGTCGTTGATGAAACAAGTACTGCATGAGCCGACGAGAACCTATCACGCTATCAACATAGCGTTCTACAGGGGCAACTGCCTCTACAGCGTGCTGCCGCATATGGTGCCTCTGTTGTTGTTGCTGCTGAACGGTGATTGGTGATTGCTGCATCTGAGGTAAAGATTGCATTAGGTGCTGCTGATGAAGTTGTGCTAATCTCTGCTGTTGTAATATGGCCTGCAGTTGAGGATTCTGATGCCCCTGCAGCACCGGATCGGGTCTCAGCAGCAGTTGCTGGATCACCTGCTGCTGCATGATACCGTCCTTCTTCAAATCAAGCCTGGCTTTCTTTGAAGTATTAGTTGAATTGAGAGGCTCCTGCACCATCGCCTCAGATGTGGCACTCGACGCCCCTTGCTTGTTGCACGCCTGCTCTTGATGAAGGCTTTGCTGCATGACGGAGCCATCCATCATTGAAGAACCTGAGATGTTGTTCGACGAGAATGACATGGGCGAGGCTGGGAGGTGCATATAGGATTCGTTGTTGATGCTGGTGCTGCGCCGCAACTGCGGACCAGAGAGAGCAGAGTTGGCGTCAGTGATGAGGGAGCTCGCTCCAACGCTTGGTCCAGAGGAGTTTCCGGTGCTGTTAAGAACACCAGGGTTCATGTCACCAGACACAGGCCCGAGTCCGGAGCGCCCATTCCCTGTCATAGAGTTCACCGCGGTTTGACTCTGGCCATCACCTTGAAAGAAGATCCCAGAGGCGGAGGAAGACTGCGACTGCCCCCCACCTCCGGCGATCCTTGATGGGGCCACCCGGGGGGTGGGCCCCAACTGACGGCTGGAATCCAGGAAGCTATCTGATGCCAAGACTCTCGCTTGGGAGATCTCCCGGAGGAAGAACGACAGGACCAATCACAGCAAATACAACACAGGAGGATCTTTTCCTGCCAACAGCGGTTGAAACCAAGTGAGACTGATAGAAAAAGATACGACCGAACAAGGAAAAAAGGGGAAAATTGGACCGATCAGCAAAGAAAGATCGAACCCTAATCACCTTAAAACCCGACGACAAAGCATTTTCAAACCTTAAAGAGGAGTTCGAATCTAAGGAAGCACTTTTTCTGGCACCGGAAGTAAAAACCTCTTCCGTATGGATACCGATCGCACTGAAACAACAACAACCTCGTCTCCGATCACATGAAAACGGAACACACAAAAAAAAAGAAAGGCCGATAAAATCGAAGCTTCAGTGATCGAACAAGAACAGTAAAAAATAAAACCTCAAAAGGGACCGATCGAGATCCAATAGATTGACCCGTCCTTACCTCCGGTATCGGCCCGGAAATGACCAGGGAGAGGATCACGGAAGCAGATTAATCGACGACGCTGTTTCTCGCCCTAATCTCACCCCCTCCCCCCCTTTTCTCGCGGCGCCGCCGCCCGTCGAGATCGCATATATAGGGGCAGTAGGTCAGGAGACCCAACACTTTACTGGACATCTCCAGTTCTTTGCCCGAACCAAGAAGTGGTCCCCACGGACTGCGAGTACGATCCTTCCTTAATCGACGGTCAAGATTCGGCGATCGGGTGGTTCCCGCTTGCCGAGTGCTACTGGAGAAGACAGGATCCACCCGAAGAGGCGGTCCGACCGGCTGCAACTGCCACGGCGGCCACAGCTTACCGGCTGTGACCAGTCAAAACACCCAAAACATAATTAGTCTTCTGAGAAATCAAATACACACGGCATTTTACACATGTCAATTTGTAATTGTGTGATTGGATCACTTGCATTGGAAGGATAATGGAGATGTTAAGATAGGCATGATTGTAGTGTTTATATTTGTAAGTAAATACAATTTACATAAGCATATATATCCATCCTTACACATATATCCCTCTAAATTTGAATATTAGGCCATGTTATATATTCTATGTTTTGGCATCCCAAGCTAAGATTCTTCCTTGGCAGGTACGTCTTCATCAATGGAGTCGTCTTTCTCCGTGTGAAAACGTCATCCATCCCCTTTCTCTCTTTTTCTCGGCATGCTTATCCTTCTCCGGTGGCTTTTTCCCGAGTTTAGACATCTATTAGTGATGCCAATTGCCAATTAATAATAGATGCCAATCATTACATCTGTGATCTTTGTCTATACGTCTATATGACGCCCTAAAGCGTCTGATATTTTTATTGCCCACCAAGATTTGGGCCTCCGGCCCAACTCGGCCCGTCTCGTTCAAGTTTCAAATTTGAAGCACGTAACGGTCAGATGGCCGATCAACCCCCCCGTACCAGCCGTCAGATGGGCGGGCCCCTCCGCAACGTAGGCCCATAAATCGCAGCTCCGAAATTGGAGCCTGCCTTCCCCCTTCCCCTGTCCCGTTCTTCCACCGGAGCGGCGAAGTCACTCTTCTCCTCCTCTTTCTGCTTCAAGAGAAGGAAAGGCGGTCGTTTTCCTTACTCCTCTCTGCTCTCTTCCTCTTCGCCCTTCTCTGGTTCGCTTTCTCGAGGAGCAAGGAGGGCTCGGACCTTCCCGTCGGCGCCGCCAAAGCCTCTTCTTTTTAGCTTCCTCATCGAGGTAACATTCGTTTCGACTCTTCGTCTTCGTTAAGCGTCAGGACTCGGGTTAATTTGGGGCCGAAGTGGGTGAAGTACCGGAATTACCCTTGATTTCGTGAAACTATTGGAGCGATCAACGCGCTGCTGTGGGGGGCATTTGTGTCATTTCGCTGCCCTCCCGTCGCCGTCGAGCGAAAGCTTCTTTGTTTGAAAGCTACGCCGCAAGGCGCCCGCGGACAACACGAAATGACCGTGTTACCCCCTATCTGTTCCTTAAAGCAAAGAACAACGTCACGGCGGCATCCTCCCCGGCGCACGTGCGGCTTGTTATACCTCAATTCCTACGGCGATGTTTACGTGAAGTGAACGCGCGACCGCCGGCTCGTTGATGCAGCCGCGTGGGTCGACTCGGCCGCGTGACTCGTTTCATCTCCTCATCATGTTCCTTCTCTTCTACTTCTTTTGATGAGACGGTCTCCGTTCTCTTTTTCGCACAGATCGGTGGGATCAACTGCAGCAGCGAGCCATGGTGGAAGAGACGGAGCCCATCGCCGCCGCCGTGGAGGACTCTGAGGTCGCTGGATCGGCAGAGCATTGGCTCTCCCGCGCTCGTCTCCTCGTCCCCGTCGCCCTGGACAAGGCCAGGTCCACCAAGGGCTTCCCCGGGCGGTGGAAGTCCATCGCCTCCAAGCTCGAGCGCGTGCCGCCGTGCCTCTCCGACCTTTCCAGCCACCCCTGCTTCGCTCGGCACCCCCTCTGCCGCGAGCTGGTCCAGTCTGTCGCCGCTACCCTCTCCGAGGCCGTCGAATTGGCCGACCGATGCCGCAGCGACGACGGCGCCTCCGTTGGGAAGCTCCAGATGCAGAGCGACCTCGATGCCCTCTCCGGAAAGCTCGACCTAAGTCTCCGGGACTGCGGCCTTCTCGTCAAGATCGGTGTCCTTGGCGATGCGGCGCTCCCTCCCCCCTCCGCCACCGGCGCGGGGCCTGCCGAGACGGAGTTCGCCAGCTGGAATCTCCGTGAGCTGCTCGCTCGCCTCCAGATCGGGCACGCCGAGGCGAAGCACCGGGCACTGGACGGGCTGTTGAGGGCGATGAGGGAGGATGAGAAGAGCGTGATGGCGGTCTTAGGCCGGAGCAGCGTGTCCGCCCTCGTACATCTGATGACGGCCACCTCTCTCAAGGTCAGGGAGAAGGCGGCCACCGCGGTTTGCTTGCTCGCCGAGTCAGGGAACTGCGAGAAACTGTTGGTCTCGGAAGGGGTGTTGCCGCCGCTGATCCGAATTTTGGACTCCGGCAGCTTAGTGGCCCGAGAAAAGGCGGTGATCTCCCTACAAAGGCTGTCCATGTCTGCTGACACCGCCCGTTCGATCGCCGGCCACGGTGGAATTCGCCCGCTGATCGAAGTCTGTCAGGTGGGCGATTCAATCTCTCAGACGGCAGCTGCGGGTGCGCTGAAGAACGTTTCTGCAGTGCCGGAGGTAAGGCAGAGTCTCGTAGACGAAGGAATCATTGGCATCATGATCAATCTGCTTGATTGCGGGATTGTGTTGGGATCGAAGGAGTATGCAGCTGAGTGTCTGCAGCACTTGACATGCAGCAACGAGAGTCTGAGGAGGTCGGTGGTGTCCGAGGGAGGGATTCGGAGCCTTCTGGCGTACCTCGAAGGACCCTTGCCGCAAGAATCAGCAGTTGGCGCATTAAAGAACCTGGTTGGTTCTGTATCCACGGATACCTTGATCTCGCTCGGCTTGCTTCCTTGCCTCGTTCATGTGTTGAAAGATGGATCTTTGGGGGTGCAGCAGGCCGCCGCAGCTTCCATTTGCAAGTTCTCCAGCACGGCAGAGACCAAGAGAATTGTTGGAGAGTTTGGTTTCATTCCCTTGCTGGTGAAGATGCTCGAGGCCAAGAGCAATGGCGCGAGGGAGGTCGCTGCACAAGCAATCGCTAGCTTGATGACCTATCAGCACAATGGTAGGGAGGTCAAGAAGGATGAGAAGAGCGTGCCAAATCTGGTTCAGTCGCTGGATCCCAGCCCTCAGAACACAGCAAAGAAGTACGCTGTATCATGCCTGCTGAGTCTGTCATCCAGCAAGAAGTGTAGGAAGATGATGATTTCCTACGGTGCAATCGGCTATCTCAAGAAGCTGACCGATATGGATGTTCCAGGCGCAAAGAAGTTGCTGGAGCGATTGGAACGAGGCAGATTGCGGAGCTTGTTTAGCAGGAAATAATAGGATGGAAGTCCGATCTCTGTGATTTAGACCTTGTGGGATTTATATGTTTCACTGTCTCTGAAACATAAACCGCAGGGTTTCGAGGCTGTAAAATCAATTCTGCTCTGGGCTTTTCAGATATCTATGAACTGTGATCCGGACTTGGCTATTTTGTGTAAATGTTCAAGAGGCTTGCTTGATGTTTTTATTCTGCATTGTTGTTGTTGTTGTTGTTTGGGGTATCTGAATTCATTTTTCTCTGATAACTTATTATAATGCTCTGTTTGTGTTCTCTGTTCTTGTCTGTATCCTTTGGCTTAGAAGCCAAACTCTGGATTTGCAGATTTGGTGTGTGAATTTGTTTGTCAGCCCAACGGTCATGTTTTCAAAATGATGAATTGAATATTAATCTTGTCTTGTTATTATTGTATGATGAATTTGGAGAAGGAATGGTCACTTGCAATAAGCTAAATTTGTCTGTCACCCTTATATAGTCTCCATTCGAGAACAATAATTTTATTATTTTTTTATATATTTTTTTTAAATATGATTAAATTATATTTTAGTCTCTATAGTTTTCATCATAAACCACTTAAGTTCTTGTGATTTACTTATGTCTAAAATAAGCCCTCCTTATTTAACAAACGTTAGAATATAGTTATGTGATGTGATATGTTAACTCACAATAAATCATTAATATAAATTTAAAAAAATATTAAAGTTCATTTTAGCCCTTATGATTTTGGTCATGGACTACTTAAGTTCTTATGGTTTATTCGTGTCTAAAATAATCTATATATTTTCAAAAACACAGCATATAGGTACTTTATGTCAAAATTGAGTTAATAGAAGTTAGAGTATGCTCGGGTGACATGTTGACACATAATAAACTATTAATATAAAGATACATACGATTTAAGTTTTTTTTTTTTAATTGAGACTACCATTAATGGTAGAATGAGCACCAAGCCATTATTGATTAGTAGGACACTATACACATGTAGTCTTTCTTGCGTTGACAATGTATTCACAAGCTTTCGGTCCTACCTCACGTGGATATGAGTTTATTAGTCTGACATTAGGCATGCAGTGGTCTCATGATCCATCTTCTTCATATTGAGCATCTTCGTCTCTGTCTCTTACTTCATCATCCCCTACACCCTCACTCACCATGCCTATGATGCGGTCATCCAACTCTCTCTCACCTTTGCCTTCGACCTATCATACCTATGTCTCTTTGCCTTCGTCCACCATTACGACCTTCATCGCAAAATGAATCTTAATCTTTTATTTTAACTTTAATTATATATGTCATTATATAAATAATTTATTGTGAGTCAATATATCACGTAAGTAAACTCTAATGTTTGTTAACTCAAAGATAAACTTATATGTTTATGTTTTTTTTAAATATAATGGTTAGTTTTATGTAATATATATATATATATATATATATATATATATATATATATATATATGACAATCCCACGTATGAATAGCATATAGACGTATGTTAAACAAAAACTCTTATGGGCTTTTTGTGGACCGATATGTTTGGAATTTTATTAATGCAACTCCTTTCTTTCTTTTACATATAGCATGTGAGATTTCTTTTAAATAATTCTATCGTATTTAGGCTCATATCGCACATCAATCGACATCATGCCGGATATCATATTATAATAGATCGATCTAACGGGATAATTGAACTATTGATTGTTGAATCTGAACTATTGATCTCAAATGCTTAAATCAATGACAGTAAAACTCATCAGTGACCTATTGATCTGTCTCGATTCTTTCAAATTGAACACCGGTATGCATTCCAAAGCCATGATATCATTTCACGATGCTCTAACTTGGTGATCTCATCCTATTCCAACGAGACAAACTACATTGTCAGCATCAATCCAGCATGCAGAAGCACTCGTAGGAGTCTGGGAAGACATGGCGGGATTGAGATAAGAAAGATGGATCGTCGTTTTCTTAGGGCTGGAAAGCTGTAGCTACAGATTGATATATACGGTAAGCTTCCAAAACAAAAGTAGCGTCTTGTTTGGGCCTCATGAAGAGCTGCAGCAGTCTTCTTCTTCCGCTGTTGCTGTTGCTGCTGCTCTCGACATTGTTGGCATGCATGCTGATGGTGGCTTATCTTCTCTGTGTTGTTACACAGTTGGCGCAGCATTAAATGCATATATACATATATGAACGTGTAGTTCACCGCAGCCCGCAATGATGTATGCATGCATGCAAGTCCGGTCGGGTCGCCTTCCTGTCGTCGCTGTCAGCTGAGGTGGGTGACGGTTGGGTGCCTTCATATCTCTCTCTCTTTTCTAAAAAAAATATTTTTATTAGCTTAGAATTTTATTACAACCACAATAGAATATTCAGATAAATTTTACATTTAATGTTAATATTGATGGAACTTTAGTTTTTCTGTGTCCTTCCTTTGAATATTTGATTTTTGTCCTTTTGTTTTTGTCATATATTTTTTTATCAACTCTATTATCTCCATTTGAGTGTTTTGTTATCGTTTAAGTGAATTGAAGTGGACAAGATTAAAAAATTTTAAATATAATTTTTTTACACTTTAATCTCATATTCGAAGTGAATATTTTTTTATAAGAGTTTGATGAGTATAATACTATTAATCTTTGTTTAAGTATCATCAATTAATTAAGACTATGAAAATACTTAAAACCTCAAACCCCTAAAACACTACAAATGCTAACCGTTTAAATTTTTTAATATTTTTTTATTAAAATATAAACAGTTGAGTTTTCGATAATAAAAGTAACACTATCAAGCACTATTTGACATTCTACTAATAGATGATAATGCACCAAACTTATCGATAGGTAAAGAACATTGATCTAATGGTAGTATAGTAAATCAACTTAATTATTTCTCGAATATTTTTTTATATCGACGATGCACGAGACTCATTAACAAGAGTTAATAATTTAAAATTTCATTCGATAAATTTTTTTTAAGAGGTTTTAAAATCTTATTACTTAATATTTTTTTAAAAAAATTATATATATATATATATATATATCTTATTTTATTGTGGAGCATAAAGAGAGAGATAGCACTGTTGTTTGACTTCCTCCCTCTTCTGCTGCACTACAGAATGGGTATAGAGACTCTCCAGTCACTCACCAAAGTAGTCAACGTCATCATCAGACCCGCCGACAATCTCAATCAGCGAGGACTAAACAACGAGTGATAAGTACACATTGGGTTGGCTCAATAGCAGTCTTCTGCAGGTGGTCTTCTCCACTGGTTAATGGCAGCTGGAGACGCAACAATGACCTTCTGTGGCTTCTCTCTCTCTCTCTCTCTCTCTCTCAGAGTTGGAGGCAAATCAAGCACCCTTTTGGGGGAACGAGAAGGAGTTCAGGAGGAGCTTGTCCTGGCGTCGCTAATGGCTCCTCAAAATCCCCAAAGGGTCCACTGTCAAGAGCTTGTTTATTGCCTACACTGCCTTGACAGGGGATCTTAACCCTTGGGTTGTGCTCTCCAACCCTTGTTTATTGTTAATTTAGGCCACTCCCTTATGCCACTTTCTTCATCGAAGGGTCGTTTAGCTCCTCCCTCTCCCTCTCGCCATCTCGAGAGCCATGGTGACTGTAACAGTACTCATTGCTTGTCCAATGCCAGGAATGAACTGGCGCCGGATATTATAAGCAGAGTTTGCTTACGAGCGTGAGCTTCGAGCAGTATGCAGTACCGTGCTTTGCTGGCGCTCGGGGTGGTTGCTGATGAGTGCTGAGACAACTGAGCTCAGAATTCATGTTGTCGATCGAAATCAATGTTACCCAGTCAACTACTGTTGTTCATTAATTTGATTAGAATAATAAATTCCTTTTTTGGGACTGAAATGTTATGAACTCTTGAATCGACCGAGACGGATGGATCCTCTCGAATGGGATGACCTGCAGAATGAAAGGATATCGAGAATACGGCCGAAAGAAAGAAAGAGAAATATGCTCAAGTCAAATGATGAAAACGGATTCGAATCCCTCGTTTCGATTCGACGAGCTCATCCGATGAGCTGAGTTATTTGTGATCCCTTAGAAAGAAGCGATCACCATTGCTTGCGTGCATTAGATGCAGCAAACAAGAACAGTCGTCTTTGTGAGACAGCTAGCTAGAAATGATTAGAGTAATATCCAAGGGATAAATAAACCTCCTTTGGGATGCCATCAACTCATCCCTTTCTTCGGTGTTCTTGTGACTCTTGGAGGTGCTAAAGGCCTGCGATGAGTCTGCTCTCTCTCTCTCTCTCTCTCTCGTCTGGGACTGGGACTGGGACTCTTCCAGGTTCTCGAACTCATTAAACTAATCGTATAAGTTACTCATAAACTGGTCGATCCCAGATTAAGAATGCTTCCATCAGAGTAGCACGTTGGCGTGCGCAGTGATTAGTTCTTTCTTGCATGACAATACTACAGTTTCCTGTGCATTTGTCACGCAAGCCTGATGCCATTCGCTGTGCAATTTGGAGGAGAAGACGGTAGATAGAGTGTCTTATAATAATAACACTTCAATCTGCAGTGTTTTATAATAATAACAAGAAGAATAAAAATGGTGGAGGAATCTTGTGGGCTCCATTGCTTGCATCTCGCCCGAGCAGGGATGGATGGTGATGAAGGTAATATTAATGATGGGACACGAATTAACGTCATATGCTCTCAGGTGACGTCTCCTAGGTCATGCAGACCGAGGAGTTGCGGGGGTCGCCTGCCTCAATCTGACTTGACAGCGTCTGGCCGAAGCAGACCAAAACGTCGACTGAGGCATGTCACCATCGTGCAGGAGCCTGGTCCTTCATGCGACGCCAATGTCGATGTCAGACATTATCCCAGGTACGATCCTGCTTCTTGCAAGCGGGCACATTAGGAAATGATGACTTTCCTTATAAAAATCCTCGTGTTCGGAACGAAGAGGAAAGGGAAAAAAAAAGAAAAACCCCAGAGACTATCGACTAACTTGATCGTCGGAGGGGTTGGGCTGAGCTCTCCCAACCCGACTTGTGTGCATGGACGAAGACGGAGTGCCTCCCACCGAAGGCCCAGGCGAGGGGTCCCCTCCCGAAGAAAACAGTGATCCCGTCGTGATCGGCTACCTCAGCAGTCTCAAGGGTCGTTCAGGAAGATCTCCAATCATTCGAACCCGAACCCAACCGTATTGGCTCCGAGGTCATAAAGACGTTGACACTAACAGATGGATGGGATGGCTGTGGGGAATCATTAGTTTTGCGCATGAGACCGCACTTCGCAATGTGGTCCTCCGACGCTCTAATTTATTAGCGCATGCATGAGCGTGTATTGGCTTTCATTTTTTACTGGTTTCATCACGTTCAAGTCACCCAAATTACTTGTGTCTTTGGAGGGATTCAAATTTCTCGGACCGCAAAGTTAAGCCTTCAGTGATTCAATTATTGTTTTATTGGTGAAATTTGAATCGTCGTTTGTGCTTTCTTCGTTTCTGCTTCATGAGATTTACCAGTTCAGTCGGTAGATGGGTTTGTGATCACAAGAAGAAGAAGAAGAGTAGGAGATGGAGAAGAGAAATTTTAAGCTTATCAACTTGATGCAGTCGATTGATCGATCTTTAGGCTATCATAGGAATCACACATCTCAGCGTTGTCGCCGTCTGCTGCTTGTTTCTCGTCGAATTCGTTGGTTACCACCACCACCACGACTGCTGTGTCAGTTTCGACAGGGCCGCCGGTCAACCGCTGCGCCCGCTCGGCCTGCAGATTCCAGTCGGTGCGGCGAACCACCACCAGCATCAGCGCGACGCACGTCCCCTGCGCCGCGAGCATGCCGAGCCACAGTCCGGGGAAGTCCAGCCTGCCCCAGAAAGCCAGCCCCGCCGCCACCGGCATGCCCACGCCGTAGAACGACCACATGTTTATGTTGGCGCCGGTGCGTGGCCGCGCGCTCCCCCGCAGCACCCCGCACCCGGCCGTCTGCGGGCAGTTCCCCAGCTCGCACATGCCTACGATGGGGAGCACCGCGGCCGTCAATGCCAAGATCGAGGCGTCCGCGGTGAACATGCGCGCCCAGGCATTCCTGACCGCCACCGCGAACGCGAACGCCAGGACGCCGAGCGCGGCGCCGCAGGCCACGCCCACAGTGGCCGCGCGGCGGGCGCGGTCGGGGCGGTTCGCGCCGAGCTCGTTGCCGACGCGCGTCGATACCCCGAAGCTGAGCGAGGAGGGGAAAATGTAGATCAAGGAGGTGGTCTGGATGAGGATGCCCATCGACGCGACGGTGGACTTGGGGTCGAGGAGCAGACCGCAGAGCAGGACCATGATCTCGTACCACCACCACTCGAGGCAGACCCCGATGCAGCTGGGTATCGCGAGGTTGAGCAACGATCTCCAGTTCCCGAGGCACTCTGCAGTGAAGTTGAGCGCCCCCGTGTGCTGATGCACGCCGGAGGAGCAGATGTAGACGAGGAGGAGGAAGAGAAGGTTGAGGTTGGTGCAGACGGAGGCGAGGGCGACGCCGCGGATGCCGAGGCGGAGGACGGAGACGAGGACGTAGTTGACGGGGAGATGGAGGAGCGCGGCGGCGGCGGCACAGTAGGTGAAAGGGAGCGTGATGAACTGGGAGCGGAGGTAGATGCGGATGGGGTGGAGGAAGGACTGGAGGAGGAGGTCCGGGAGGGAGGCGAGAACGTAGGCCTGGGCCACGGCGGCGATGTCGTCGTCCTGGCCGCTGAGGAGGAGGAGGGAGCGCATGGAGGCCCAGAGGGCGGCGATGGGGAGGGAGGCGGCGAGGAGGAGAAGGACGGCGCGGTGGAGGACGGGGCCGAGGAGGGCGGGCCGGCGGGCGCCGAAGGCCTGGCCGCAGATGGGCTCCATGCCCATGGCGAGGCCGGAGAGGACGGAGTATCCGGTGATGTTGGCGAAGCCGATGGCAAGAGCGCCACCGGCGAGGGGGAGGCGGCCGAGGCGTCCGAGGAAGAGCATGGAGACGAGGGAGCGGGAGTAGAGGAGGAGGCCGGTGAGCGCCATGGGGGAGGCCAGGGACAGGATGGACTTGGCCTCCACCAGGGCCGCGCTCACGTGCTTTGGCCACTCGGGTTTCAGGCGTGGTGGCGACTCGGTCGGGCTCGGCCACTCCCTCTTTATCAACGGCTCGGTCAACCACATCCTTGCTTTTGCTCTACACGAAGTACATACAAGGGAATAGAGAGGAAGAGAGTGAGAGAGCGGCAAAGTGTTTGGACTCCCCAAGTCCTAATCTTGTAAGGCCAACTTCGGAGAGACCCTTCCTCCGCGTTGGTGGTGTATGGCAGAGTGAATGAATGGGGAACGGCCATGGCAGAGCTTATATAGAGAGGAGGGTCGATGTCTGTTGAGGGGATCCAAGGAGGCAATTTCTTTTATATGTGGATGGTAGCCATTTTTATATCCAAACCCTTACCAATATCGAGGAAACTTGCGTGTCCCTTTAGTGGGTACGTGGAGAACAAATACGTAGGGCTAAGCTTGTTTCTATTGCTGCTACCAAATCGGCTTTTGTTTCATGCAAGAGCGAAAAGTATTTTAATTGTATGGATGTTATAAAGCGTTTACTAATCTAAGAGCCTAAATTAGTAATTTACAAAAATGTCAACTCAAGTTATAGCAGGAAGATATTCGTCTAATCCCATCAATCATCTCAATTCACTTTACCACTAAGAGTCACGATAATGATGTTTGGAGCTCCAACTGTGATGACTTGTACCTATCATTTACTCCCTAAGATCAAATAGAAACCTCTGGAGAGGATATGATTGCTTCCTCATTGCAAGACACGCACTAATGTACAACATAAGATGAGTCCAAACCATTCTTTTCATTCCTGTGCGTGTCAGAACCCCACTTTGATAGTACCACTGGGCTACTATCTCCTGTAGCTTTTTCCGAGACTGCTTTGTCCATGTGATCTATATCCATCCGTATATAGATAACTGTCCTCTACAATGACGCAGTACTGAGCTCTTTCCAGCCTAAGTTGCTGTCCACATTTATCCTCTTTGGACAGTGAATTCTGATGCACCAATAATGGATATTATCCATTATGGTGGATGTGGCCTCAGTTCACGCCTCTTATTGACTGCCTGTAGCCGCAAGCAGACCACTTGCTTGTCTTCTTCTCATCTCCTTGTGGTCCACCTGGAGGACCACAAGATACAGGTTCTGATCACCCGGATTTCCACTTGGATCCGGCAGGGAATCGAAGTCAAGACTTGGAAGATTGTACTCGAGAACTCGGAGGAGTTGTTTGTTGGCTAGCTAGCTGTAGCTTAGCTTGGCTTTCTCTCATATAATGGGTGCCATGACATGCACAGTGAAACCATGGAGGCCACCAGTGTGTCGCCACTTCGGGGGAGGCTTTGTGCAGCAGAGATCACTCCACGAGATCACTCCACGACCAACAGTGCCGTCCACTATTTGATTGGCTAGATGTTGCTGCCGCCAAGGCGATGACGTCTCCAAAGTGATGCCGTCCCCCTGCAAAACTTTGTCGAGTTGTGGAGAAGAATCACTGCAAAAGCTTCCGACTGAATCGACTCTATCAATAATAACACATTTCACATCGGATTTTGTCCTCTTCTTGATGAGGAAGATGATATCGAATGCGGGCAATGGGCAGACGCGCGATCCTGAGCAGCCAACCGGGAGAGAGACGTACCTGCCATTGAAGACATTTTGATGAAGATGCGTATCATGAGACGTAATATGTGATATCAAAAGCACAACCATGCATAACTTTCCTTATCCACATGCATGCATATTAACTTTCGGCTGTACCTCAAGATTTCTAATGGTTTTGACAAATCGGAAGAGAACAAGCATGTCACTGCATCTACCACTTACAGGACCTTTCCCATGAAGCAAATCATGGCCATGGATCAGAGATTGAACCAGAAAGCAATAAAGCATAGCCAAGCTGCTCGCTGTCAAATTCATCAGTGGATTCCAGCAACTTGTATCCACTTTTATGATTGTCGAGTTCTACTATTGAACTTGCACAGTCTAGGCCAGGCAAAGTTTTCCTCCTTAGCAACCACCCACATCTCTTGACTACCCCAATAGCTCCAGATTATAATAGATCTTGCAAAAAAGAGCCATTCAAAATTATTCAAAAACAAATAAACCTTTCTTTCCTGTAGCCATTTGTTCATATTCTAAAACCATTGGTGCATATACTTGATGATATTCCACCAACTATCGATGAAAAGGTACATCATGTAACACATATCCACAACTAGCACTGTAGTTGACACCTGCAGTTACAGTGTCTTTGAAATCACTCCTCTGGGTTAGACCGTACTTGTTTGCATTCATAGAGGCTCTAAAACCAATTGCAGTACTGCAATTGGTACATACAATTTTGTCATTTAGCAATAACAGCAATAGTCCAATTGAGATATAGTTCGATGCAGATCTATGATAACCACACAAACAAAAGGAAGTACCTGAGCCATCATGGCCGCTATGACACAAATTACCGAGTGTAAAATAATCTCATTCTCTTTCCTGCCTTGGTGAAGGACTGCATAAAAAACAACAGTTACTAGGACATAACAGATAAGAGATGGAAGTAACACAAAATAAAATCTCAGAATAATGCAAACCATACCTCTCATGCCCAAGAGTTTCAGCTCTTTCATAATTAGGGGTACCCCTGCGTTCACCCAGAATCAGGGCTATCCTTCTCCCTGCCTCTGCCGTATGGGCTTGGAGTACGTCCACTGTCACGACCCCTCCTCGCTAGGGATCGATACCTACGTCTCCTCTTAGGGCTGTACCCATTTCTTCTGTCATCATCATCACGAAGCGCATACTCTAGTGAAATAACCCGATCCATCAACTTGCCGAAAATCCAAGGAGAAAGGCAAAAAGAATGAAGCAAGCTACACTGTCATGACCTCTTATCAGTTTCTTATATGTTATATATATTCAATTAACCAGTCATACTATAATGATTAAAAAAAAAAAACTAGTCATACTATATAGGAATATATTCAGGTGATGTCATTATAACACATGAAGAGTTAGAAGTTATGCCTCCCACTACTAGATCCACCTGTGCAATCAAATTAGTAGATGCTAAGAAGCACCACGATTCTTTAACCAGTAATGAAATATCTTTGGCCAAGGAGCTACCTCAGTGTTCACAAATTTTTACTCGACAAAATTACGGCCTCAAACCCAACCTGTTCTGATGAAGAAGAAGGATAACATAAATATACTCCCACAAGGCAAATAATCTACAAGAACAGAAAATCATCTTCACGTTCCAATTTTACCAACTTGCATTAACCAATAACTAGTCCTTTTCTTAACCAGTGTTTAAAAAACTACAGAATGCCCAGCAGAATTATTGTATCTTTCCATGCACTAAAAGTGGAAACATGGAAAGATTTAACAAAATTTTTCATACTTCCACATGGTAATAACAGAACAGATGACCAAGGGAGAGCGAAAGATATAATAAAAAGAATAATAGAAGGTATTGTCCTACTGACAACTACATAGTAATTTCTCAAGATATAAATGAAAGTTAATCAAAATAATCAGACGCTATTGATACCGATACTCCCATTAAATGCTAAATCATCTTTCATACAATAAAAAAAGAATAGGCAAGCAGATTTCATGAAGAAATTCATATACATCATGATGAAATTAATCCTGGAAGCAGATAGCCTCGAAACACTTACAGTTATGGAAAGATACACTACTACTGGTACTATATACTGAAATTGGGGGAGAAGGAAGCACCTCATGTTGGTTGCTTCCAGAGCTTTTGTGGCATCCTCTTGTGCCTCAAAGTAATTAAAGACAAAATATCTTCTAACCTAATATTTAAGCCCTTTCCATATGGTCCAAAGTGCTTCTCCAAGTCTCATCCTGGTATCGATTGGCTCAAAGTTTATGACAAACAGTGTCTTTGTATGCGTCATATTAGCAAGAGACCTTCTTGAACTGCCAGATCGTCCTACCACCACAAGCTCTTGCTGTGTCACCAATCTAGAAAACATTAAACAGAATACGAAACCAAAAATATGCAATTTACTGAGTTGTGTACCTTCGTCCATTCAACGTGAAGCCATTGCCCGTGTCTGCCAAACTCAGTCCTGTCAAGGGCCTGGATTGCATCCCCTGCATCTCGTTCATCATCCATGTAAATAAATGCAAATCCTGCAGATATTAAATTAGAAAAGCAAATTAATCTAAGCACAAAGAACCATTTAGCTACTAACGCTTTAGTTTTATAGAATCCTTGATGACAGCAGAGTCTAGTGGGCCCAGTTAATCTCCACAAACTATTTGGAAACATAAACCCATTTCTGTCAAAGCTACAAAGAGATCGACAAACAAGAAAAATCAGGAACAGACCTCATGTAGAAGTAGAACTAAATGATGTGACGCTATAAAAAGGCATAAGAAGGTCTGATGTGGTAGGCCATTGAACAGATTGCCTTCTCCATCTATTCTCCAGCCTGGCAGTAAGAATGGGATGGAGAACACGAGCAGGTTGAGAAAATGGGCAAAATTCATAGGATTCAGAAGGCAATGGTCTCATGGGGAAATGTTTTCAGGTGAACAGTGCCACAAAGTATGGTGGATCATAGCAGCTCCTGGAACTACACAAGGAGATGAGGCTCAGGCTCGGGCTCAGGCAGGAAAGGTGATGCCATACCATCAGCCAGGAAGAAACTAGGTGTTCCAAGATATTCCCGCACCAAAGAAATTGTTTCAAAGGGATTACCTTAAAATAAAATATTTCCATTCACTAAACTTATCCTGCATTCTGATTCCCCAGCAAAGCTGAACAAAAGGATTCAATGGCGAGCTACTATCCTGGAACTGTTGCAATACAGGAACATAGGGTCCTGATGCAGTGAAAAGGGTAGATGTTCCAATTGCTAATGGGAACATAGGTTCTCATTTGCTAACTTGACTAACGATTGCTTACTAAGAAATTTCGAGTTTAAATGGTTAACTTTCCATACTTGACGTGAAAAGGGTAAGAAAAAAACCAGAAACAACTAAGAACGAAACAAGTTTTTGTCCACCACACTGCAGATCGAAGCAGCCTTAAAAAGCCCAGCAAGTAAATAGCAGTATGTTCATAAAAGAGCAACACTGAAGAAGATAATCACTGGGTTTGCTTATGTGATGACAAATCACCAAGAATTATGTTCATAGTTCCAAGAAACCGATTCCTAGGGAAATGTTCCAAGGCAAGTCATTCAGTTAAAACAACATTACCAGATAAATTAGCATTATCTCAGTACATAGATAAACACTGACAACAATTAGTAAATTGCTCAATGAGAGTTGTAGCATTATCTCTCAAAAAGGGATAGACTTACCTGATTTCATATCTACCCTGTCAACCTTCCAGTATCTGCCAAAAAGACGTTCCAATTCTGACTGGCGAGCATCATACTCAAAGTTCCCACAGAAAATGGGCCTCATTTTGGAGAGAAACAAGTTGAAAGCTATCTACAAGAAAGACAAGCAAATGATTTGGAACAAAACACTGAAAATAATAAGCATGTGATCACAGCAAATTAGTATTATAATACAGACAAACTACCAATAGCTTGTACAAGTGTCTGAATTTTACGCTACATTTTCATTAGGTAGAAAAGGAGATGCTTCACCCGATACCATTAAACCTCAACAACCTAGTCTCAGTATTTCCTCAATCACATCATACAAAGAAACCAAATCCCATTAAAATATGAGCATACTACATTGTTTGCACCAATTGACATAACCAAGCATTGCAAATGTAGGTTAGATACAACAAACAAATACACATGCAAAACAAAATGCAACGATGCATATAGCAACTTAACCTGTAATACACTGTCACGAAAGCCTCATTCACCTTATTTTTCGTTATGTTTTTACATGTAAACACTATCACCATTCAGATAACGAATATTACAAACACAAGGTGCTTGGTGGTCGTCCTGTAAGCGTGGACATGCATTGAACAAAGTCATTGTTTTCTCAATATTATATTAATGTACATAAAAATCACTTAGGAATTTAATTTTGGGACCATGTAATAATAATTCATGCTAATACCAGTGCCTCAACTATAATGCTTCACCGAGTAGTGATTATAAGGGATCACGAGAAAAGAAGATACAACCAACCTACACTCATTCCGTCCCCAATAATATAAAGAAAGGATCCCGAGACAAGACAACATATCGTCATCCCTACTTCAGTATATATAACAAGAAGACATCGCAATGTTTACACCAACAAGGCAAGCAAGGTCTTCAAGCTGCAAAGAACCAGATGTAAAGTTCAGATCACCTTTACTTTCAATCCACTGTCGATCAATGCTTCCATATAACCACCCATCGATCTTCCTTTTCACCCGTAACTCGCAGCAGATCCAACCCAGACCTAATATCCTAAAGCATAATTCAAATAGAACTTGACAGATATCCGAATCAACTCGATCTAGGGTTCCGAACACAAAAATGCAAAGATATAGCGACTCCGATCGAGAGGGCAGTAGTTCGTCAACGTCAAATAGAAAGCCGGAGATCAAAAGGCAACGAAATCACAGAGTGAAAACAGATGTTATAACAAAAATGAGAAGCATGGGAGCAGTTGGCGTCACCAATTTGGGACTTGGAAAGGAGATTAGATCGGAAGATTCGCCCACCTCCTCGCGAGAACGATCTGAGGAAACAACCCCAAAGGCCGACGCACGGTGAAGGAAACGGAACGCGCGTTAGCCGAAGCAATAGATGGTTGGCTTAGTATATATCGCAATTTCAAGTGGTTTTGTTGTGTGGTGGGCTTAACAGTGTAGTGGGAGTGACTTTGATGGAAATGAGCTCATAGTAATCTCCATAATATGGGATTCGAACGACTCTGCCGGCCGCAGTTCCAAACTCTACATGGGTTGGGTTTGGTTCAGTATAACCGGCCCTGTTGGGCCCAAAAAATTAACCAAGCGGGCCGTTCTCGGCCCGGCCTAAACCTCCCGAGGGTAACTGAGGCCGCCAAAAAAAACCCTCGCCGTCGAGCGAGACAGAGAGCGCAATGGCTACGGCGACGGGGACGAAGCTGGTGGCGAAGCGGTCGAGCAAGTACTTGGAGGAGCCGCTCTACAAGCGGCTCTTCCGGGAGGGCACCAAACCGCAGAGCGTTCGGCAGCAGCTCGAGTTGTTCCTCAAGAGCCGCAAGCGCGTCTATAAATGGGAGGTCGACGTCTCCATCCGCAGGCTCCGCGGTCAGAAGAGGTTCCACCCCGCCCTCAAGGTACCGTGAACCCGCCTCCATTTACCTCCAATCGCATCCCTCCTTGCTCTTTCCTTCCGTCCAGCTGATGAAGTGCTGATCATCATCATGATCTTGATCTTGTTCTTCATTGACAAGAAAAAAGGGGATCTTGTTAATCTATGTGAAGTGTTTGGTTTTTTTGGATCAATCCACAGTTTAGATTGGACTTGGTGCAGGGTGTAGAAATCAAAATCGCCTCAGATGTAGTTGCTTGTATTAGAGAGATTATCCATTGTGGTTTGTTGTTCCCAAGCTGCTTAGCTATCGTAGATTAGGTGCTTGTTTTGTGCGTGGTGATGAGTGACCGGAAAGGAACTACTAAAGCTTATGCAGTGGATAATCTTGTTGGATAGAAATAAGAGTGGGAAATTACTGAATGCAGAACTTCTTATGCCTATTTTTCGTATCTCTGCTCTTTATCTCCTTATCTTCAATCCTTTTTATTCTTGTAAAATCCTTGCCTTTTGTCATAGCTTTTTATTTCCACAGTAGAAATTCAAAATTGTAACATTCTACCCGTTGTTTGAATCCAAGCGAACCCCAGTGTCTAAGGCTGTCATATGGTTATAACATTTTTGAGCAACAGATAACATTTGAATGAAAACCCTAATTAGAATATGACTTCGCCGTTTCAATTTTTAGGCAGTTCGTCAATTGACTATAGGTCTAATTAAAATATTAGACAAATTCGACAAACTCCAAAAAGAAAAGGACAAGTGCATTAATCTTGTGATGATAAAGTACTTGAATGGGAAGACAAACTATTATTAGAAGATGATATGAAGGTTGAAGATATATATGCAAAAGGTTGTAATTGAAATCGTGATTAAAATTTTTAAAAGGTTTTTTCTTGACTGATAAAAATTTACATTTAGTGAGAACATAATTTATTTGTATCCTTAGGATAAGAGCTTTGTTATCAAATCTGATGTCTGAAGACGAGATATAATTTTGTTAGATGAAATGTAAATAAAATAAATGAGGAAGAACCAGACTCACTCTAACACAAGGATTAACTCTTTAAGGATGGCTGTCTCGTACACACACACACATATAGTGGAATTACATGATTATAGAAATAATATGGCCTCACAACCATACATGTGATGTGGAAAAAGCATATTTCTTTCATTTAGGCATTCTTGGTGATCGAATATCACAATCCATTCTTTTTTCTTATATACCCCCAAGTACAAGATAAAAAATAAAAAATAAGCAAGGGACATGAAGAAAAAATTTCTCTCTCTTAATTGAGACTTATCAATCATTCTTTCTTTTGTGTTTTAGGGAAGATATAATTATAAATTTGTTTTGACAAATAATTTTCCTTCTTGATAAGGTACTTGATTTAATTTTTTTATTTATTGAATTTTTGATATAATGAAACTTCCTTATATATATATTTAATCTCAGTTAAGCCTTCAATTCTCCAATTTTTCTCTTTTTTCTTGGGATCTTAAATCAACCTAATATGTCACATTTCTTTTTCTGTTGTTGGTTTTCTTTTTCTTTTTTTATCTAGGCAATCTTGGTAACTAATATGCTATCATAGAAGATGTTGCAATATGACAACTTATAACATTTGCAAGAAACCCCTTAAACTAACAAAGTTTATTCAAAACAAAAATAAATTCAAAATGGTCCTTTATCAATTCTTATAATCTACTTCCAACTGTATGGAGCAACAGGCTCATTAATCGAGTCATTCTTTCTCCAATCACATGATCAACTGGATAAAATAGATGGTCAATTGCATCACTACATCATTAATATTGTCAACAGTCAGAGATACTCAAAAGATATTTGGCAATTGTTGTCTTCCAGAAGTGATTGATGTAGTCTAGCCCTAGAGAATGCTTAGACTTACATTGAGTTATGTTGGCTTTAGGGTTGAACAACTAGTGTGAGTATAGTCAATCTAAGTCATATGGGTGGGTATATGGTTTAGTTTTTCTATTATGTTAAGGATTTTCATTGCAAGTTGTTATTCTTTTAGGATTGGCTCAAAGTCCTACTTTTGCCTTAAAAAAATCACGTGAGTCCCTTATAAATGTCCATTTGGTTTCAAAGAAGTTTAGGAAGATCTAGATGCCTCTCTAAATAAGGCTTTTTGTTGCTTGAAACTTTTTGTTTTATATAAAATAATATTCATAAAATGCTCATTGATTTAAGAAACCTAATTTTCAAGTAGCAAAATGCCTGGTTGTTGAAGAAGTGGGCTTGATGTGCTGAAAAACCAAGTTTTTTATGCTGGCTATCTCTACCATTCTTCTGTCTCTTCAACACTTTATTCTTCGTCTACCTCTCCTATTTGTTACCACTACTGCTTTGGTAGACATTATCCAAGTGCTTTTGTTAAAAGGCCACTGCAATTGAAACGATGAAGATTGAAACAGAATAAATGGTGACAGCAAATAAACAACAGATAAAACCACCTATTTTGGATCTTGTAACAATCTATGTATAAGGTTCTCTTGAATATATTTTTAACAAATTCCTGTAGTATATAATCCATTTCAAATTTCTTTCACCAAATAATTTGTTATCAAACATGACTATTAAGCAATTTCTTAAAGGCATATCATTTTCCATAAAGATAATCATGCTAGTTCATGCTATTATCAAACATGACTGGAAGCAAATGCAAGACTAGGGGCATCAACATATCTAAACTCTTAACATATCTTTTACATTTTCAATATTTCTGCTTCTGTTCTTGTAAGAGTAGCAAGTCTCTTAGATCAAGTCTTTTGGTGCCAAACATTAAAAAGGATTTTCGTGTCATTGCAAGCAATGTTATGCTTTAAAATATCATGTGTCATTATTGAGCTTGGTTTGTTGTTTCTCATCTTGGAAAATCAGTATTACATGGTATTGATGTTTTTGCAGCTGTCCGAGGTCATGGCTAAAAGAGGCATGAACTTGACACTGAGTGATCAAGCAGTCCGTCTGGATCTAGTTGCCAAATCCCGAGGCATTGCTTCGGCCGAAGAGTACTTCATCAATCTACCAGAGTCTGCTAAAAATCACCTTACATATGGTGCACTCCTCAACTGCTATTGCAAAGAACTACTGACGGAAAAGGCAGAGGGCCTCATGGAGAAAATGAAGGAATTGAAGTTTGCGTCAAGCCCGATGGCCTACAACAGCTTGATGACCCTATATGCTAAAACCAATCAACCAGGAAAAGTTCCTGGCATAATTCAAGAGATGAAAGCTGATGATGTCATGCCAGATTGCTTTACTTTCAATGTCTGGATGAGATCTCTTGCTGCAATGAATGACATATCTGGGGTTGAGAGGGTCATGGAAGAGATGAAAAGAGATGGGAGAGTTGCTGCTGATTGGACAACTTACAGTAATCTTGCATCCATTTATGTAGATGCTGGCATGTTTCAGAAAGCAGAAGGAGCTCTGAAGGAATTAGAAAAGAGGAACCTAGGTCAAGATGTTGTAGCTTATCAGTTTCTCATCACTTTGTATGGTCGAACAGGGAACCTGGTTGAAGTGCACCGGATATGGAGATCTCTAAAGCTGGTACGTCCAAAGATGGCAAATGTGAGCTATTTGAATATGATTCAGGTGCTGGTGAATTTGAAGGATTTGCCAGGCGCTGAGGCATGTTTTAAGGAATGGGAATCCAACTTCTCAGTATATGATATCCGAGTGGCTAATGCAATGATTAAAGCTTATGCTAATGAAGGAATGCTAGATAAAGCCCAAGCTGTTAAGAAACATGCGAAAATGCTTGGTGGAAGACTCAATGCCAAAACATGGGAGATATTTATGGATTATTATATGAATAAAGGGGATCTGAAAATGGCACATTGGTGTGCCGATCGTGCAATTAAGAAGGGGAAAAGCCTTGGTAGATTTTGGGTCCCACCCCGTGAGACCATAATTACTTTAATTGCATACTTCGAGCAAAAGAAGGATGTTGCAGGTGCTGAGAAATTCATCGAGCTTCTGCAGACGGTGGAGAAAGACCTCGGGGCTGAGGTGTTTGAGGCACTTATAAGGACATACGCAGCTGCTGGGAAGAGGAGCCCTGGTATGCGTCATCGCTTGAAGATGGAGCATGTGGTTGTTGGTGAAGACACTGAACAATTGCTCGAGTCGATCTGTGTGGAATAAGAATCATCACTCGATTCTGTATGTTTCCAACTTACTGTTCATCTCATTTTTATCAGAAGCTTCATTCAGGAGGATCTGCTTACTTGGCAAATGCCATCACTTCCTTTCTCATTCCTTTTGACAAGTAATGTAGCTTAAGAATTACTTACTGTCGGATAAAGCCGGTTATGGTTATGCTATCAGTAGAAGATTATCTGGCCTGAATCCTGTGCCGTCATGACATTATTTATGCTTGCTCCTAAAGGTTGATTTCTTTTTGTTCAGCATGGAGAATAAATGTCATCTTTTAGTAATATTTCACAGTGTGCACTGTCCTTTGTCATTATTATTAAAAAAAAAAAGTGTTGCGGTGCTTTGTGGAAGAATCAAGTTTTAACAATCATTTGAAATTTGATATTGAATATCCTATTGAAGCAATCTCAAAGTCAAATTAAATGGAAAATAAAATCTTAAAGCCATTGGAATATCTGTAGAATGCATAAGGCCGAGTGCCGATCTTTATCAGTGTCTCTAATTCTGAGTCAATTTTGTGCTATAACCGATCATTTTGGAATGTGCAAAGTATACATTAATAGCTTATCTTTTGCACAAATAAACTTTTATCTATATATTTTGTCGACATGCATCTTGCCTGGAATCTTAAATTGAAGGTATACTTTGGTTCAGAGCTTGAAAGTCTTAGAACTCATGTTTCATTAAGATATGTACTCTGCACATTAGTGTGTTTGTCTGAAGATGATCAATGTTGATATAAGGTTGGATTGCAGAACTGGGTAGGGATGGGTCATTTAAGGTATAACCCTACTTTTGTTGTACCAGGTCAACTTGAAGCAATTTCCATGGAAACTGGGTTGGGATGGTATGTGGGTCATGTAAAGAACATGTGTAAGTTGCAGTGGGACTATTCAGCTGCTAATTGTCAACACATCTACTTCCCTACACTATCCTCTTCAGTTCATCTGGTCCTGATGGTCATCATCATGCTTCATATGGCACTCCAGACAAAAAATGTGGAATCATAAGAGAATTGAGGCACACTGCTGGGATTTTTATGCAAATGATTCATATAGCTGGAAATAGTGCAAAGTCCACAAGCTAGTGTTTGTCACTGCATGGTGTACAGTTTCTTTTAGTCGAACTGAGATGTCAGATATGACATGAGGTAATATCTTGACTTGTTTCTGATGGTTCTTCATTGCTTAGTAAAATGTCAGGCAACAGCAGCACAGGGGAAAGAAAGCAGCAGCATACATCGAGCTACAAGGTGAAGGTAAACTTGCAGCATAAAAGATATTGACGCCTTCGTCTTCTTGTGGCGGTTTCATTTCCCTGTTGGTGTGCTCCTTCCATCCAGGCAAAGTGGTCACAGTCGTCACCGATCCACCACATCCGTCGTCATGCATCTGCTACCAAAGTTAGGTAAGACTCTTCTTCCCCTTGTCATATCCTCCTCGTTGTTTCTCTCGATCGATAGTGATCGAAGAATAGCAACGAGGATGAGCAGATTTTACTGCACTCCATCGTGAAATATTAGCATTTTATTAATTACTTATTTTAATTAATAGTATTCAGTGTCTTTATATGATATAGCTGTTCATGGAGCGCAGGACATTCAACTCACCATGGGGCGAGCCAAGACGATGGGAACTGTTCCTGATAAGATCACGGTCGCCATTACAACAAGCTTATGAGTTCCCTCCCTTTCCCGCAGCCCCAAGCCGTCAGCCTTGGCACAAAAACCAAGACGTGACCGCCCGCTCCCATGATTTCCCATCACCAGAAAAGAACGCAAACCCCGCACTGCACTCCCACCACACCCGTCTCATTTCGCTTTCCTCCTCGCAGACTTCCCCACCCGTGCCTTTGCCTGCCACCACATGAATTGATAGCTTTCGCGTCCCCCAATCCCACTCCACTGCCAAAACAAAAGCGAAGCCACAGAAAACGTACACAACAAACCAAAAAGAAAGCAGAGTCCCCTGTGCCGCCGGCGCCACCTCCTCACCGCAGCCACCGCCGGAGGTCCGTCGTCGAGGACGGGGACGCTTCGCCCACGAGGCTGTCGTTGCAGGACGAGGACACGTTGGAGCGGGGCTCCCCGGCGAACCTCGCCGCCGCGCTCTTGAAGCTTGGGCTCCGCAGGTTCTCCGGCTCCGGGAACGAGAGGCGCTTCTTGGCGGAGCTGGCCCGATCCCGGTCCGGCGTCCCGGGTCGCTGTCGCGGTGCGCTCTGCGACCGCAGCCGCGCCTTGGCGGACTCCGTCGCCGCCATGTAGTTCGGCACCGACGCCGCGGGGTGGTAGGTCGGCGTCTGGGCGGTGGAGATGCTCCTGTGGTCCTGCCGGCCGCAGCGGGGACTGGCGGAGCGGACTTGCAAAGGTCGCATCTCGGAGGGCGAGGGCGTGGTGGGCGAGTGGGTCTGGTGTCGGTGGTGGTGACCGCGGTGGAGCGGGACGGGCTGCGGGGACGGCGGCGTCTGGCGGCGAGGGTTGGCGGGGGCGGAGTAAGAGTAGGGTCGAGAGGTGTCGATCTCCAAGGTCTTGATGGGATCCCGATAGCCAACGGAGGCTCGTGCCCTGCTGCTGGCTCTGTTGTCAAAAGAGGACCTTGAGGCGATCCAGCGATCCATCCACCGGCTCGGTCTCTGCTCTCCCGCCGAAGCCACCTCGCCGTCCACGTCTTCGTCGAGAAGGCGCGACGAGCTCCGATCCGATCTCAAGAGCTTTCCGATAGATAGACCGGAGACTTGATGTCAGTCGTATATACATCACAGAGGAAAGCAGGCGGCGGGGGAGAAATAAGCGTGTTCGGAGCTCACTTTATGAGAGAAGGCATAGGAGAGCGCCCTCTCTCGTCTGAGAGCAGCATCCTTCCGGCGTTGCAACGTCGCTTGTATCTCGTCCATCGTTCTCGGGCGGTCGTCCCAATCATCAGCAAAGCTACTCCCATCTCTCGACTGTTTGTTCCACCATTAAAGAGAGAAGAAAAAGATAGGACAAATCCACACGATGAGCAAAGAAGAAACCAACGAGGAAGACGAAGGATGTGTTACCATGGATCTTCTCTCCGCGAGCTCCTGGAGGTACTTGGAGTCCCAGAAAGAGGTGTCGCAGCTGAAGGAGGAGATGTTGCTACCTCGAGAAACCGCCGCCGCCGACTCTTGGGCGAGCCGCATGCGCTGTTCTCTCACCCTCGCCTGTGCTCTCACCAGAGCTTGCATGCACCGCAGCGTCATGTTCGCTTGCTTCCGGACGTTGTGACCCCTCACCAAGGCCTGCAGCTTTACCAGCCCCTTCAAAGCCCGCAGTGCCCTCCTCGCCTTCACCACCACCCCGAAACCCAAATCCACTTTAGAACCATCCCTGAACTCAAGAAGACGAAGAACCTAAAGAAGAGGTGAGGTACCAAGTATCCTCGAAAGGCGGTTTGGATGACGACGGCGGCGTAATGCTCCTTGACGAAGCTCGCAGAAGGCCTGGTGAGGCGCACCACCTCCGCCGCCGCCTGCGCCGTCGCTACCGCCGCCTCTGCCGTCGCTGCGGAGGCCACGGCAAGGGCAATAGCGTGCCTTTCCTCCGGCGTGACTACCGTCGGCGCCCTCGCCTGCTGCTGTTGCTCGAGCGTTGACGGCTTCCGGAACATCCATCTCCTCTTCTCCCTCTTCCGCTACCAGAAGACGAAGTCACGAAAGAAAGGAAAGGTGAAGGTGACCCATTAGAAACACCGAAAGCAGACGAGGGAGGAAGCACAACACTCTCACCTTCTCTTCTTCCTCTCCTTGTCCCGAGGTCTTCCTCTCGGAGTCCTTAGACGGCGACATAAACGCCCGTTTGACCGCCGTCAGCCAAGAGCTGCTCCCCTTCCTTCCCATGACACCCTACTCCCTTCTTCGCACCGTTACCCAACGATTCTCCAGCCGCAACAGTAAAGGCGAAGAAGGAGGAGGAGGAGAAAGGCAGAACTCCGCTTTCACCCGTCCATGTCGGAAGGAATCTTTTATCAAAGGTGACAGTCTTCCGGCTTTGGCTTTGGGCACAGTAACTTGACTCGCTTCACGAAGCCAGTCACAGTGAATGAGCTCCGGATGTCTCCTCAGGCCCTACAGCTTCCTGCTGCGTGAATCCCTGTTGGGGGCAGAGAGAGGCTAACCTTCTTTTGCGACCATGTAAACTGGATTTTGGCGGATATTTCTCTCTATATTTATATTTAGATCTCGTAGTATCGTATTTTTTATATTTTAAAAATTATATTAAAAATTTTATAATTATTTAAAAATAAAAATAATTGATTATATTTTCTTGTCGTCGTCAGCTCGATTGACGACACGTGACAATAATTATCGATCTTGTGAATGGCAAAACGGTCATTAACCTCGTTTCACCAACAACAATTCTTCCTCCCCTCCCTCCTACAAATACTTCCCCTTCACCCTCCCCTTGTCTCAGCAAACCAGCACAAGGAGACAATCCAACTTGTCTACTACTTGCCCCGTTCTCATCCTAATCATGGAGAAGCTGATCTCTCTTGCAGGACCAGTCGGCTTTCTTCCTTCGGACACTACTCAGCTATGTCATCATGACACTCCTCGAGTCCTCCCCAACATCCATCCGTCCTTCCTCCGCTCCTGCGTCGAGTTCTGCACATGCTTGTCGATGGCCCACGACGAACCACCGGCAGAGGCGATGCCCGGTGGACGTCATGGGCCTGCGCTGTAGCCCTGAAGATGAGCCGCTCAGGGAGGTCAGCTCCGACGAGCTCTCGAGCTTGTCTGAGGAGTCTGGAGGCAGCGAAAGAGACCTTCCAGAACTGTGATGGATGCATCGATGAACTCGAGCTGCAGAGACTGCTCACACGGCTCGGCTTCGTGGAAGGGCTGGAATATGATAACTCTGCAAGGTCGAACAATAAATGAGGCCAGAACAATCGATCAGATACCTGCTACAAACTTGCATCTCGATCTTATGGTTTCCTGGTCTTCCAATGATTAAAGCGATTCATTGGGAGGAAGCAGTTGATTAGATGATTGGCTTCATGATTTCTGCTGGACCTCTGAGTGCAGGTAAAAAGTGAGCCACCGAGTACCTTCGAGGCCTTTCGCCATCAGCAACACGAATGGTGTTGTGGAACGGCGAACTTGTTCGGGAAGATGGCGGTGGAGATCTCCATGCACAAGGTATGTTTCATTGTGTTAGAACGTCAAGTACCACCCACAACTTTTCTATAGATTCGGAACGGTGTTGCGACAATGCAGAAAGTATCCCTCTGGACCAAAGTTTATGGTCGCCGACAATGCAGATGGCGGTTGAGGCAGTCGCTTATCTACACACTTGAAGATAACGCTGTTCCGGCGAGACGACGTGGTTGGGGCGGTCGCCGGCTAATCCGACGCCGCCGGAGTGGAAGATCCCGTGGTCGTGATCGTTTTCGGTGAGTGGTTTGGAGGAGGTGTAACTCATTTGGAATGTAAAAGTGCTTGTCCGAGGGTTAGGGTAAACATCGGAGGAGAGGCACGCTTACCTATTTCCTTTAAAGGAAACAGAAGAGAGAGAGAGAGAGAGAGAGAGAGAGAGCACCCCGCACCGAATTGGAATGATAAAGGTTTACAGTTATGTGCACTGAATTGGAATGATAAACGTTAACAGTTATGTGGTATAACGTAGGTATCCCTCATAATTACATGACGCATCAGTACACGTGTACGTATGACGTACGCGCTTGCGTACGCCCAGCAGGAGATCTGTCGTTTCCCACTTTTACTCACGCCACAAAGTGCTATTTGCACATTCGCACATCAAGCATATAGCATGCAGATAGTGTACGTATGTATTTTATTTGGTGAGATTGATGAACAAGATAGGAT